TTTTCCATCAGAACATGAATGCCATTAATATTTTGTAAAATACATTTTAGAGAGTTTACAAGACTGTTACTCTTTCAGAAAATGCCCTGCTCCTTGCGCCGGTTGATATCTCTCTTCAGCTGGCAGGTGGTGCAGACGGGGCAGCACATGGCCATCATAAAATCGTTACACATGGAGCCCTGGAAACACACGCAGTAACTCTTAGAAGGTGCAGCCTCAACATCAGTGAAGGGAAGGGAGTTAGGCTAATGACACGACCAGAATTTATTTATATGAAAAACCAGGGTTGGATTACAGACTTAATCAAAATGTAAGTGTACACATGCTATCATGCTGTGTTTGCATCAAGCAGAAAGTTGAATAAGTATACAAGCAATGGAAAATTTATCAATGCGCTAAATGATATGACATTCCTGCTTCAGAGCCTATATCAGAAGCATCAAACTCAAGACCCAGGGGCCAAAAGTGAAACAGTAAAGACTCCAATCTGGCAAAAACTTTGGACTTTTAACTGTGTTTTCACAAGTTTTCCTGCTAATAAAGAACTCCGACATGGCAATTTATACAACACCAAAGGGTTAGAGTTAACCCTAAACATCCTATTTTCACTGCTATGCTCTACTAGAAATGTCTGTGCTTATTCCAGTGTTTTGTTTTTTTTAATCAGGACATTTTCTATTACAGTCTTAAGATAAATGTGAGCTGTCTGTGGCCCACAATGTACAGTGAGTTTGACACCCATGACCTAAATGAATCTACGTTGCAATACTATGGCTTAAACAGGGAAGGGAAAAAAACATAATTGGACACAACCACATTATTGTTTTTAACCTTTGTTTCTCTTAATCTTCAAATATATTTTGATTAATCTTGGGTAACATGTTAAAAGTACTTGTACTTTTTACATGATCATTTTCAGACATTTAGTAATTTGACTCTGACAGCATTTTCAGTTTTTCTCTTTTTATAATATAGGAGGAACATATTTGACTTACAACATGATGGTAACAACTTAATTATTAGTTACATACAGCAGGAAATAGGCTGTTTTCACTCACAGTGAAACAGGTAACTAAAAGACCACTTCTTTGGTTCTAAAAAGGCCTCAAATAGACTTAAATTGGCGAATCCTGCAGAAAGCTTGCAGTGGATAACTGTTCCTGTTGTCCACTGAAAACTTACCTTGATGTTATATTTGGTCCTGTAGACGCTACGGATGGGCATGCCCAGACCACACAGGCAACACTCGCCCATGTCACTGGCAATGGTACAGCCGAGGCAGCAGTAGCACCAATAGCCAAAGCAGCCTAAGGCAGGGAGAAAGTGTGTTAAAGGAAGCACTTACAACTTAAATCCATTATTATTGTTATTGTTATTATTATAAGTATAGCCGCTCTTCATACATTCCATTAAAATATCCATTCCCAGTTAATTTTTAATATAACTGATAAGGGAAAAAGATCCACAGTCCTTATTTTACATGAGAAAATGCATTCAAGTTTCACCAAGTTTCAGTGGTTTGGTATCCATTTCTTGTCAGTTCCTTAACAGTTTGTTTCCACCACACGAACATGTAGATGGAGCATTACAAAGGCCAGTATGAACAGAAAGAAAACCTGCTTTAACTGTTCTTTTCTTAGGTTTGAAAAAAAGGTGTATCCAATTATATCTTGCTGCAAATGCTGTCTCAACTTTGTGCATATTTTGAGCTACAGAACCAGTAAAGAAGGTTACTCACAAATTCCAATGTCATCACAGCAATCTAACACGCCTGTCTGGAATTCAGAAGTTTCATATTTGCCTGGTTGGTTGACCACAGCCATGATCACGTTAAAGTCTTCTTTCTGTGGGATGAAAAGGGGTTGTAGTTATTGTTTGAATACTGTATGTGAGGAAGAGGAACACTACTGGTTCATATTTCTCTTTATTATTCTCGGTGCTTCCATGTATGTTTTGGCTTTACTACTTCCACATACTTCACATACGCATACTTCAAACAACATTCAAACTCTAAAATGCTCTCAAATTATTGGGATATTACTATAATTTAGCTTTTTCATCTTGACCATTTTGATAAAATCCCTGTTTAACTTTTATCGCATTATGATGATTCTTTTAGAAAATACATGTGCTGCTATGCAATTAAGCTACAGTGTACCACTCTAGCTTTTTGAATCTGTTCCTCCTGTAAATGGCCTGTATTTGTATAGCGCTTTACTTAGTCCCTAAGGACCCCAAAGCGCTACATTCAGTCATCCACCCATTCACACACTGGTGATGGCAAGCTACATTGTAGCTACATTGTAGCTACATTGTAAATGGTAAATGGCCTGTAGTTGTACAGCGCTTTTACTAGTCCCTCCTAGGGACCCCAAAGCGCTTTACACACCCAGTCATCCACCCATTCACACACACATTCACACAATGGTGGAGGCAAGCTACAGTTGTAGCCACAGCTGCCCAATGTAGCAACTACAATTGTAGCTACATTGTAGCTACAAGACACTGGCGCCACTGGGCCCTCTGACCACCACCAGTAGGCAACGGGTGAAGTGTCTTGCCCAAGGACACAACGACCGAGACTGTCCAAGCCGGGGCTCGAACTAGCAACCTTCCGATTACAAGACGAACTGCCAACTCTTGAGCCACAATTGCCCACCTGGTCTGAACAGATTCTTCTTACTGGCTCGATTTTCAGTCTTCCCACACATATTATATATCAAAACAATGGATTTTGTATTTGGATTCAGAAAATGTGACAGAAGCCTACAGACAGAAGCATGTAATCGATAGCCTACATGGCTTCTGAGTTACAAAATGTTTAAGAGCAAGTCAAGGCAGTTTTCCTTTCTCAGCTATTTAGTTGCCGTACTTCACAGGTCATATATCTTTAATAATTCATTTTTTAATTATACACTGTCAACACTCAGAGTCCCTTCTCTGTCCTGATCAAAATTAAATAGCCTGAGAAAGCATACACAGGCTGCCTCTGATGGTAGATTAAAACTGAACAGATTTAGCCCAATGACTGTACAGAAGGCACAGACTGTGACTGCTGCAGAAACACAGAGGCCACGCTCTCACAATCGCTGTTCACTCCATGCTGTGTGAGTGTGTGTCCAAATTTGTAAAAATTGTTAGGTATGCACTTTTTTACCTTAGTTTTGTGCTGAGGAGATTAATCTTACCAGCTGGTTGGACAGTTGAAGGATTCTGACCAAGAAGGATTGTCCAGACCATGAAGCAGCTTGAGCCTTTATAACATATAAGAGCAGGTGACTCAATCACCTTTGCTACTGTGACAAGATAACAACAGCCACAAATCAGCCCTATATCTTTATGTCCGGTTATGGTAATAAAACTTAACCACACTGTGTGGTTAAGTCAAAGTCATAGACAAGTGGGATGTCCCAGACTTATCTCACCTGACCTTGTTTCTGTGTTAACAATACATCATATCAGTGTTGTTAAGCTCAATTATATCGTTACCACCAACTAAAGAGTAAACAACATATAGTAGTGCCTATTTCCTGTACTTTGCTTTGGTACAATTCTGTAGAATTATGCCACGTATTTTTTTTCAATTTAGAAAGTATAAGTCTGTGTAAAGGATTTAAACGTATATTGTTGTATTTTCTTTTACAGTACTTATATTGTATATGAAGTCAGTAA